CTCTCTCTCTCTCTCTCTCTCTCTCTCTCTCTCTCTTCTCTTTCTTTCTTTCTCATGCTGAATGGAGTTTATTGAGGGAGGGAGGAGGTCTTAAATACAGGCTTACAGCACAATGGGAGAACTCCAGAGGGCAGAAGTTCACTACCAATGTTTCATAATCCTGCATCTAAGCTGTTGATGCCCATTATGCAGGATATACAGACAAGGATCTTCCCTTAAGCATTCAGGAGGGTGGAACCCGGCAGGGAATTAGCATAGGGAGGATATCAAGGTCAAGGTCAGCAAGCAAGGCAACAGCTACCCAAAATGGGGTCCAGGGCCCTACAAAAGCAGCCCTTGCTCTTCTCTTTGCTTTTGCGTTTTGGTTTGGTGAGACAGGGTCTCCTGTAGCACAGGCTAGCCTCAAGACCACTGTGGAGCCAAAGACGACTTGAACTGCTATTTCTCCTGCCTCTACTCTCCTAGCTTTCATAATTGCCATATGCTCACCTTTATAAGACTTTGGTTGTTTCTCTGTCAGTTTAGTGGCCTCGCCTGAATCTACTGATATTTTAACTACCATTGGTGCCCCGAGGCTCCAGAGGTAGCACCCCACCATACAGATTGAGGCCTAGCGGGATTTCTGGTCCCACTGGTACCAGCTCAGCCACAGCCGCCAAGTGTAAGTTTTAACTAAGGCTGTTGTTCTATTTACCAATAAGGACTCGAGAATCAGGTGTTGGGGAGAAAACCTAAACCTGCTAGATGACAGAGGCTGAGAAGCAACCAGAAGACCTTCCTTTTTAGCCAGAGACCCAAGGAGAAAAGTGTCCCTGCACTCGTCCCAAACCATAAAGACCCAAATTAAGTCCCTCCCAGCTCCTTCCTGTGCATTTCTCTATCCATATTCCTGGCTCCTCCTTCTGCTCTATTGCTAATTCCTGTCAACTAGTTGCTGGCTCCACCCCCAGACCCCAGGGTAATTTTATTACCAGTCTCTGAGTTTCTCAGTGCCATCAAATATCCCATAACACTTTCCTGTTTTTTCCCATTGAGCTCCTATATAATGTACATCAGCTGCCCTGAAGGACTCTCCTCAGGCTGGACACAGCTAGTTGTATCATGCCTAATTGTGAGGTGTGTGTGTGTGTGTGTGTGTGTGTGTGTGTGTGTGTGTGTAGTATATGTGTGTATAAGTGTGAGTCTGTGTCTGTGTCCTGCCAAGTCTCTGTTGAAGCATCAATCACAAAACAAGAGTATTAAATTCTGGGGACTCACAAGCACTAAAGACTTGCCACACAGCAGAACATGTGGCCTCTAGAAAAGGGCTTGATAGACTGAGTTCATGCTTTTCCTTGACCACATGAGAATACATACAAAGTACCAATTAGAGTTAGAAAGCATCCCTGTTACACACTCAATTTGTTTGGTATCTTGATCTTGCTTTGCCAATGTCCAGACACACAAGCAACCGATTTCTGTTGTTTATAAGGGACAAACTAAGGCATTTTGTTTGAGAGCAGAAGGCCTAGGGTGCCAGGATAGGGCTCCATCTCTTACACATGTTGTCTATAGGGTTCTGGCTGACAAGTACTTTCTTGATCATTTTGAACATATCAGGCCACTGTCTTCTGGGATCCTGGACTTTGGTGAGAAGTTTTAGGAACAATGGGGACCATGAGACAAATGGTGTCAACTTTCTCCCAGCCCCACAGATGTTAGTCCTCGGTCCTGGGGTGCCAAGGAAAACAGTATTTTCTCACAACATCCCAATATAGTCAGGAGCTGTCATCCTATCGGACCTACCAATCTGAGTTTAAAGACAAATAAGATGAATTCTTTGAGAGTAGACATGATGAGTTATTACAAACTTGTCACAGAAGGCTGGGTCCAAATTAAGAGCAAAACACTATCCACCTACTAAGGGGAGACTATCAGTCTGTAAGCAAGGCAGGGCCAATGCTCTGGAGCCATTGTCATTCTTAGGACTCCTTGTTTTATTATTAAAGTGGAAGGGTCCTTGTTAAGGTTTGGGTGTCAATGCCCCACAAGGAATCGAGTGTTTGGACACTGGTTCCACCAGGTGACACCATTTGGGGAATTTTTGGACCTTGGGAAGTAGGCAGCAGGAAGAGGTGGGTCACTGGGCAACACTGAGGACAGCCATTTGAGTGTAACCAGGCTCCTAAGGCCCCTACTGCCCCACTGGCCAGACCAGTGAGCTGTGCTGAGCCCTCATTGGTCCATTTCTTGCTGTGATGTCACAATGACAGACACCTGTGCATTCACAGCTCTGGCTGAGGCTGCCTCCTGTCCTTACAGTGCAGGAGCTGCTGGTTGGTTGGAGAGGTGGTGTTCGGCACTGGTGAAAGAAAGAGTTGACTTGGACTTTCGGGAGCTGTTGGACTCCGACATTGTGAGTTACTCTCCAAGTCTGTTGACTTTATTTGGTTTCTTGTTCTCAGTGAATTTGTCTATTGGCTTGCTTTATTTTTCCACTCACTTTTTCATGTTCTTTCTTATCTTCTATTTGACTTTCTATTCTTTTTGATGTGTGGGGTAATTCAAGACAGGGTTTCTCTGTGTAGCTCTGGCCTTTATGGAACTCACTCTGTAAACCAGATTGGCCTTGAACTCAGAGATCTGCCTGCCTCTGCCTCCTGAGTGCTGGAAATAAAGGCATGTGCCACCACTGCCCACCAGTTTGTATTCATTTTTAGGTTATGTTTATGAGGTAGAATGCTTGATATTTTTATTTTATGGGTATGAGTATTTTGTCTCCATGTATGTCTGTGCACCACGAGCCTGGTACCCGTGGGGGTCACAAGAGGGACACAGATGAGCTGAAGCTCAAGTAACAGGTGGTTGTGAGCCACCATGTGGCTGTTGGGCACCTAACCGGGGTTCTATGAAAGAGCAGGAGTTGCTCTGAAACACTAAATCATCTCTCCAGCCCCTCTGTGTTTGTCTTTACCTCTTCCTTTATTGTCATGTTTTTCTTCATTTATTTCTCCTATTTCAAGCCTTTTCTTGGTAATATGGCACATAGAAGCCATTTAGTTATGACAATCACAGGAACACCTGTAATGCATTTTTGATCACATTAATCATGTGATTAACCTGTGCTGTTATGCTTTCTTCTCCCACTTCCCCTCCACTTTCCTAGTAGACCCTTTTTAAGTTGACGATCCCCTCCTACTCCCAAATCCCACAGAGGAGAGAAAACAAGCGGCACATTTGCAGGACTGGCTTTTCCCAGGTAAAGCATCTGCTCCAGTCTGTCCTTGTTGAGAGCCCCAATTTCATCCTGGATGGATTCCCATGGCTTGACTGTGGCACTCTTGCCCTTTATTCCGTTTCTATATTGTGTAATTTGTCCTCTAAGCATGCAGAGCAATTCTTGCAAGGATCCTTGTGAGTGTGTTTTAACCATCAATTATGGCCTTATTAATGTGTTGTGGAATTTGGTGAGAAGTGTCAGTACTATTATTAAGGACTTTCACATCCATGTTCATGGAAATGGCTTTTTTTTTTTTTTTTGAGACAGGGTTTCTCTGTGTAGCTTTGCGCCTTTCCTGGAACTCACTTGGTAGACCAGGCTGGCTCTGCCTTCCAAGTGCTAGGATTAAAGGTGTGCGCCACCACCACCCTGCCCAATCTGTGTCTTATTCTGCTGTGTGCTGCTTTGGAAGGTGCTTTCTTCTCTTTCTGAGCATTGAGTCCCTATTAGGTTGTCTGAAGTATCTCTGACTTTCTTTTCCTTTTGGATGTAGGAATTTGTACTGATAAACAGTCACAGGAGCCTGATTTGGACTGTTTAAAATTCCCCCATTGAAAGTTTTGTTCTAGCCGTATCAACAAGGACCCGACCATGGAGCAGGGCGGGGAGGCCTGCTGTTCTGCTGAGGAGACCTTCACTGCTGACTATAAGATGATGACGACCCTGGGCCAAGGACAGTTTTCAGAGGTCAAACTGGCCTTTCACGTGCCCACAGTATCCTGTGTGGCGGTAAAAATTCTTAGAAATCAGAAGAATTATGCTTCGCTTATCAACAGTGAAATCAGCATCATGAAATCCCTTGCCCATCCCAACATAATTAAATTGTTTCATGTGGTCCAGACCAGAGAGACCACCTACCTGGTGATGGAGCATGCATCAGAGGGAGACCTGCTCCATCATATACTGAAACTAGGGGCCTTAGAGGAGAGCAAGGTTCGAAGGCTGTTTACCCAGATAGTGCATGCCCTGAAGTATTGCCATGATAAATTTATCATCCACAGAGACATAAAGGCCAATAACATCCTCCTTGACCATAGGGGTAATGCGAAGCTGTGTGATTTTGGCCTCTCTGCTAAGGTCATCCCTGGGCAGAGGCTTTTTGGGTTTTGTGGCACTCTGAATTACTGTGCTCCAGAACTCTTTGGAAAGGAGACATACGATGGCCGTGCTACTGATATTTGGAGTTTAGGCGTGCTCCTCTTCTTCATGGTGACTGGGCACCTTCCCTTCAAAGCTTACTCTTCTGTGAGGGTGATACAACAGATCCTCACTGCAGACTTCAGGGTGCCTTCGCATGTTTCCGTTGATATTCGAGATCTCATCCTCAAACTGCTGATTATAAACCCCTACAGGAGGCTCACCATGGTCGAAATCATGAGGCACCCCATGGTCAAGAGCAGTGAGGCCCATTCACCGCCTACCTCCACCCAGTCTCTCCCAGGCACCCCGAGTATTGTCAGGGCCATGACAGTCATGGGGTATAAATCCAAAGAAATCATTGAGTCTCTAAGAGACCATAAATACAACCAGGTGGTGGACAGTTACCTAATTCTACAGCACCAGTCACCCAAGGGAGACTGCTACCATCACCAGGAGAAAGCAGTGAGAGCCATGCAGCCAGGCCTTGTCCTCAACCTGACAGATCGTCACACTTTCCCTGTGTCCTTAGGGAGAGCTACCGAGCCTGCTCCCCCCACCTTCACCTTGCCATCTAAGACCAAGGAGAGAGATGAGAAGAATGCCAGGCAGGGTGGCACAAGGCACAGCATGCCTGCTGCCCTGTGCTGCCAGCCAAAGAGGACCCACCCTCCCCACCTACCTCACCTGGGCTGTCCTGTGGCTGATTCCCTCATGGGCAGCAACCTGGAAATCACTGAGTATTTCACACAGTCCGAGATTGGGTCATTCGGCAGCCACATGGCCAGTGTCCAGCCACCTCTCTTTCTGGACACCTCCTCTCCTAGGCCACACCAGAGTGAGACTCCAGGTGACACAGACAACAACTTGTCCTCCTGCAGTCCACAGGAGGAACTCTGGAGCTCCCAGGAGGCATCTCAGTATTTCACCCCCACAGGCTCCTCCCCTTGGGATACATTGCAGGAAGAGACCATGACCCGGGATGAGGCCATCACCCATGAAGCCACCAAGACGCAGGAAAATACCATGATCCAGGAAACGTCCATGACCTATGAAGCGACCATGACCCATGATGTGGCCATCAACCAGGAAGCAACTTTGACCCAGGAAACCACCATGACCCAGGAGGCGACCATCATTCAGGAAGAGGCTATCACTCTGGACATGGCCATGACCCAGGAAGCAGCCATCACCCATGGCCAGTCCCAGGATGCAGGCCCAGCTTCTTCCCGAACCCGGAGGCGCCACAGCTGGAAGAGGATCAAGGAAACAATTATGAACTGCCTCAGAAACCTCTGTTGCTGCTGCGTGCCTCCTGCAGAAGGAGGCCATGCCTCCCGCAAGAACCTGGCTCCAAAGAAAAGGGATCATGGAGTCACCCCTAGAACCAGGTGGGTGCACTTACTTCATTTTATTTGTGCTTCTCCTCCTGTCCCTTGTGATAAATGATGCCTGTGCCCACTTGAGGCACATTTGTGAACTTATCAACCTGTCACTTCAGAGAGACCAATCCCAGAGAATCCCCTCAAGTATGACCTTAAGCTTGTTCAGCTACAAGTGGACACAGAGATGCTGATGAGAGCAGGGAGAGCAGTAGGCGGGGCAAGGCCAAAGGAGGCAAAGATTCCATGGAGGACCAGTGGGGAGCTTAGACACTGGAGGGACAGCCCAGCAAGTCCTGTGTGTTCCAAAGCCACTAAGAGTCTCCTTCCTGTGTCTTTCTGGTTTGAAGTCCTGAAGAGGTCAAGCCCCAGCTCCATGGCTTGTGAGCCACAGGTTGGGGACCGGTCTGGCTGAGAATCGGACAGCCCCACAGGGAGCCAGGCCAGATGTCCAGGAGGCGGTGTGGACACAGACCCCTCCTGCAGAGGAAGAGTTGTCCACCTCAGCGCAGATCTCTCCAGGTAAAATCCCAGGCAGGAAGGACAGGCTTTTCACAGGGTCTTGCTCAGAGGGGAGGGCTGAGGTGCAAAGGGGCCCTAAGCTGTCTCATGGAACAATAGCCCCTTGCCCTCTTCCCCTGCCTGGCTAAACATCAGAGATTGCCCTCTGGGTAGTGACTCTCCTTTGCTCCCTGTTTTGGGGCAGAGAACATGGCCTTCTCCATCATATGAGACTTCTCTGCGCAGGGGGAGTATTTCTAGTCAGCCTGTCCCACCTGCCCCAAGATGGGTTCCCAGGTTCAGAATGTGGCCAGCAAGCAGCCCTGTAGGACTCCTCTAGAGGGCAGCCTCCTGACAACCTTTTACAAGAACCCCCCATAGTCATCACAGCAAGTTACATTGCTTGAATCCTCAGACCCAACTCAGAGCAAAACTTGGGACAATCTCTACTGAGCAGTGACTCCAGGGCCGGCTGAGTCTTCTCTCTCCACCAATACTGCCCTCTAGTTGCTCACCTGCTGCCTCTCCATGCTTGCTCCTTCAAGGCCATCATTTCCATTGGGAACTGGATTCCACACTCACCACCACGTGCCATACCATGAGGCAGTATTACGTGTCATGATATGGATCAAACCAGAAACCCTTATGAGGGGCCAGCAACGTGCTGCGGGCCCTGCCTCTTGCCAGCCCAATTCTTCACTCAAACAGGCATATCTGTAAGGTCACTTGTTCTTATACAGGTAAGCAGCCTTTTGCACATCCTTTGGGCCAGCTTCCGGGAAGCCTTCCCTGTCCATCCCACAGTCACATTGGTAAGGTCTCAGCTCATGTGTTCTTTCTCCTTAGACAGTGCCAAAATGCCACAGCATGAGACACAGAAAAGTCTGTGTGACTGATGTGGATGGTACATCTGTCTATGTGTCTCCCTAATGTGACATGAAAACAATGGTCCTGGGATGATGCTCTTGCTAGGATGGCTTCTGTGTCCAACAGCGTGTCTTGATAGTGTTCCACCACTAGGAGAACACATCTGTCTTATCTGTTCTGTCCTTTGAGCACCACTGAACTCCTAGGACAGACATTTTTGTGTGTGTGTATGTGTGTGCTCAATCTGAGAAGAAAAGAGAACTTTATTCCACTCTGGGGTGAGAAGAGCATCCCAGAACCCCATGCTTCCCAACCCACTGACAACAACTCTGGGAAAGTGCATTCCACTGGATCCTTTGCTGGCCTCAGCCATTGAATCTGCTCAGATAAAAATGAGGAGGACTTCTCAGGTGACTCTGGCCAGTCTGGGAGGGAGATCTGACTTCACATTGTGATCCCCCTAAGACAACTGTATTGTTCACCTGCCCCCATCCCCAGGAATATAAAGCCACTGGTGAGTATCTCTGTCTCTGTCTCTGTGTCTCTGTTTCTCTCTCTGTCTCTGTCTCTCTCTCTGCCTCTCTTCTACATGAACAACTTCCAGGCAGGTCAGCTGTTCAGTCTTAAACTAGACCCCCAGAGAATCACCAAACACTGAAGATTGCTATAAACAGCAAACTCAAAATGCAAACATGAAATAAAAATTGCAATTGATTGGAATAGATACATGAAATTAAGACCAACCAACCAAAAAAACCACACATTAATCCTTGAATGACTCACACTAATAATAACAGTCCCACAGAATCATGCTAAGGTTACACATTCCACCTACAACCAAAGATGGAAATTAGCTTTCATTCCCTGACAGGTGTTTTAAGGTGTCACATGCACAAGTCCATTTTATTTTCTGACATTTGGTTCTGTCTACTTTGGTCAACAGGAATAGTATTGCTACAAACTGTTTTCATCTGCTGGTTTATGTGTTTATACAGAATATTGCCCTATAACCGTGGCTGGACTGAATTCAGTAGGTAGTCCAGACTGGCTTTAAATTCCTGAGGGTCCTGCTGCCTCAGTGTCTCTTAGGTACACTGGAACATTGTTAGCATTTGTGGTTTAGTCAAAGTCTGATATATCCCAAGCAGGCCACTCTGCAGCCAAAGATGACCTTGAGCAGGATCCTCATCTTCTTGTCTCTAACTCCCCAAGGCAGATATTCCAGTTTTGAGCCACTCTGCCCTGTTAAGTATGAAAACCTCAAGGCCAGTATAGACAGGAGTGAGTTGCAGGCTGAGTGGAATCCCATCTCAAGGAGAATATGGAAATTCTGAGCATTTTGAACTATCAGATCTGGACAAGGCCTGGGGAGATGGGGGAATGGCTAGAGCACCACAGAGAAAGGAAGGAGTGTGTGAAAACTGGATGTGGCGGTGTCCTTATGTCATTTGAGGCCTGGAGCTGAAGAGAGGCAAGTGTGGGAGCTTGCTGGCCTGAGGTCAGTGAGACACCCTGTCTCAAAAATGAAGGTGAAAGCCTGGTTAACAAAGAAAAAGAACTAAGGTGTGCCGGATAGTAGTTGTGCATACCTTTAATCCCAGCACTTGGGAGGCAAAGCCAGGCAGATCTCTGTGAGTTCAAGGCCAGCCTGGTCTACAGAGTGAGATCCAGGACAGGCACCAAAACTACACAGAGAAACCCTGTCTTGAAAAAAAAAAAAAAAAGAATTAAGGTGTAAAAGCATTTGAGCATTTGATTAGTATTCCTGACCTACATGTGTGCTCAAAGGTTTAGAATAGAATAGATAGACAGACACACACACACTCACACCTGTGGTCACACACACATCATGCACAAACACACACGCTCTTTGTGCAGAGTTCTCCACCCTGTCCTTACCCATACCCCTCACTACTGTCTATTCCTTGTACTCATGGCCTTTTCTTTTCTTTGCCAAAGCACATGACTCTTAAACACCACAGTGGCATAACTATCAGTCCCCTCTAATGAGGAATCCTCTCATTTTTACTCTCCTCCTGTTTTGACTTGGGTTTTCTGTCTGTAGTTCAGGCTGCCAGAGTGTTTGAGGGGTTTTGATATTTAAATTATCTTTGTAGGGATGGATGACCTTGAACTTTTAATCCTTCTGCTTCCACCTACCAAATATAGGGAATACAGGAATTCTCCAGCAAACCTGGTTTATTTGGTGCTGGAGACCAAACCAAGGACTCCCTACATGCTAGGCAAGAGCCGTCCCAACTGAGTCACACCTGTATCTTAGACATGCAGGGCCAGCACAATAAGTCCTGTGTGTTCCAAAGCCACTGAGACTCCTTCCTGTGTCTTTCTGCTTTGAAGTGCTGAAGAGGTCAAGCCCCAACTCCATGGCTTGTGAGCCACGGGATGGGGACCATTCTAGCTGAGAATCGGACAGCCCCACAGGGAGCCAGGACAGATGTCCAGGAGGCAGAATGGACATAGGTCCCTCCTGTAGAGGAAGAGCTGTCCACCCCAGCACAGAGCTCTCCAGGTAAAATCCCACACAGGAAGGACAGGCTTTCCAAAGGGTCTTGCTCAGAGGGGAGGGCTGAGGTGCAAAGAGGCCCTAAGCTGTCTCATGGAACAATAGCCCCTTGCCCTCTTCCCCTGCCTGGCTAAACATCAGAGATTGCCCTCTGGGTAGTGAATTTCCTTTACTCCCTGTTTCTGGGCAGAGAACAGGGTGTTCTCCATGAGGTGAGACTTCTCTCCCCAGGGAGAGTATTTCTAGTCAGCCTGTCCTACCTGCCCCAAGATGGAGGTTCCCAGGTTCAGAATGTGACCAGCATGCAGCCCTGTAGCGCTCCAATAGAGGGTAGCTGAGGTGATTGTGTTCCCCAAAATGTTGTGCACCCTAATAAATTTATCTGAGTCAGAGAACAGAATAGCTACTAGACATAGGGCCAGAAAATGGGGGCACACACGCCTTTAATCCTATAACTTGGGAGGCAGAGATTCATCTGGATCTCTGTGAGTTTAAAACCACCTTGGAAACAGCCAGGCATGGTGACTCATGCTTTTAATCCCAGAAAGTGAGCCTATAATCCCAGGAAGTGATGGCAGAAATGAAAAAGGTATATAAGGCATGAGGACCAGGAACTAGGCAGGTTAAGTTTTTAGGCTTTTCAAAAAGAGTTCAGCTGAGATCTATTTGGATGAGGACTCAAAGACTTCCAGTCTGAGGAAACCGGATCAGCTGAGGAACTGGCAAGGAGAGGTAGCTGTGGCTTGTTGTGCTTCTCTGATCTTCCAGCATTCACCCCAATTCCTGCCTCTGGGTTTGTTTTCATTAATAAGACTTTTTAAGATTCATGCTACAGGTAGCATCCTGCCAACTTTTTGCAAGAACCCCGAAAAGTCATCACAGCAAGGTATACTGCTTGAGTCCTCAGACCCAACTCAGAGCAAAGCTTGGGACAATCTCTACTGAGGAGTGAATCCAGGGCCGGCTGAGTCTTCTCTCTCCACCAATTCTGGCCTCTAGTTACTCACCTGCTGCCTCTCCATGCTTGCTCCTTCAAGGCCACCATTCCCATTGGGAACTGGATTTCACACTCACCACCACATGCCACACCATGAGGCACTGATAGGTGTCGTGATATGGATGGAACCAGAAACCCTTATGAGGGGGCAGCAACCTGCTGTGGGCCCTGCCTCTTGCCAGCCCAAGTCTGACTCAGAGGTTCATATCCCTAAGGTGGCTTGTTCTGATACAGGTAAGCAGGCTTTTGCACATCCTTTGGGCCAGTTTTCTGGAAGCCTCCCCTGTTCATTTCACAGTCACTTTGGTAAGGTCTTATCTCGTGTGTTCTTTCACCTTAGACAGTGCCAATATGCTACAGCATGAGACACGGAAGAGTCTGTGTGACTGATGTGGATGGTACATCGATCCATGTGTCTCCCTGATGTGACATGAAACAATGGTCCTGGGACCATAATCATGCTGTGCTGCCTTCTGTGTCCAACAGCGTGTCTTGATAGTGTTCCAGCACGAGGAGAACACATCTGTCACATCTCTTCTGTCCTCTGAGCACCACTAAGTTCCCAGGACACACATTTTAATGTGCTCAATCTGAAAAGAAAAGAGAACCTTATTCCACTCTAGGTGAGAAGTGTACCCCAGAACCCCATGCTTCCCAACCTACCGAAAACAACTCTGGGAAAGTAGATTCCATGGGATCCTTTGCTGGCCTCAGCCACTGGATCTGCTCAGACAGAACTGAGGAGGACTTCTCAGGTGACTCTGGCCAGTCTGGGAGGGAGATCTGACTTCACATTGTGATCCCCCTAAGACAACTGTATTGTTCACCTGCTCCCATCCCCAGGAATATAAAGCCACAGGTGAGTATCTCTCTCTGTCTCTGTCTCTGTCTCTGTCTCTGTGTCTCTCCTTCTCTCTCTCTGCCTCTCTTCTACATGAACAACTTCCAGGCAGGTCAGCTGATCAGTCTTAAACAGGACTCCCAGAGAATCACCAAACAATGAAGATTGCTAGAAAGAGCAAACCCAAAATGCAAACATAAAATAAAAATTGCAATTGTTTGAAATAGATACATGATATTAAAACTGACCAACCAAAAAATAACACACAAAACCTTGAATGACCCACCCTAATAATAACAGTCTCACAGAAGCATGCTAAGGAAACACATTCCACCTACAACCAAAGATGGAAATTGGCTTTCATTCCCTGACAGTTGTATTAAGGTGTCACATGTACAGGTCCATTTTATTTTCTGACATTTGGTTCTGTCTACTTTGCTACAAACTCTTTTCATCTGCTGTTTATTTGTTTGTCTGTCTGTCTGTTTGTTTGTTTGTTTTGTTTGTTTGTGTTTGGAGACAGGGTTTTTCAGTGTAGCTTTGGTATCTGTCCTGGATCTCATTCTGTAGTATATAGTGGCCTTGAACTCACAAAGATCTGCCTGGCTCTACATTCCAAATCCCGGGATTAAAGGCATGGACCACCACCGCCCAGCTCCTCTGCTGGTTTATGTGTTTATACAGAGTTTTGCCCTGCAACTCGGCCTGGACTGAATTCCGTAGAGAGTCCAGACTGGCTTTAAATTCCTGAGGGTCCTGCTGCCTCAGTGTCTCTTAGGTACACTGGAACACTGTTAGCATTTGTGGTTTAGTCCAAGTCTATGTATCCCAGGCAGGCCACTCTGTAGCCAAAGATGACCTTGAGCAGGATTCTCATCTTCTTGTCTCTAACTTCCCAAGGCAGAAATTCCAGTTTTAGCCACTGTGCCCTGTTAAGTATGAAAAGCTCAAGGCCAGTATAGGCAGGAGTGAGTTGCAGGCTGAAAGGAATCCCATCTCAAGGAGAATATGGAAGTTCTGAACGTTTTGATCTATCAGATCCGGACATGGTCTGGGGTTATGGGGGAATAGCTAAAGTGCCACAGAGAAAGGAAGGAGTGTGTGCAAACTGGATGTAGCTCTGTCCTTATGTCATCTGAGGCCTGGTGCTGAAGAGAGGCAAGTGTGAAAGCTTGCTGGCCTGAGGTCAGTGAGACACACTGTCTCAAAATGGAGGTGAAATCCTGTGGTGGTGGAGCACCCCTTAATCCCAGGCCTGGGTGGCAGAGGCAGGCATATCTCTGTGAGTTCAAGGACAGCTGGTCTAGAGAGCGAGCTCCAGGACAGCCAGGTAAACTTGGAGAAACCCTGTTGCAAAAAAAACAAACAAAAAGAACTAAGGTGCAAAAGCAGTTGATGAATATTCCTGGTCTACATGTGTGCACAAAGGGTTAGAACAGACAGACAGACAGGAACACACACACGTACACACAACACACACACACACACACACACACACACACACACCTGTGGTCACACATGCACCTTGCACAAACACTCACACTCTTTGTGCAGAGTTCTCCACCCTGTCCTTACCCATACCCCTCACTACTGTCTATTCCTTGTACTCATGGCCTTTTCTTTTCTTTGCCAAAGCACATGACTCTTAAACACCACAGTGGCATAACTACCAGTCCCCTCTAATGAGGAATCCTCTCGATTTTTTTTTTTATCTTCTCTTGTTTTGACTTGGGTTTTCTGTCTGTAGTCCAGGCTGCCAAGGACTGGCGACCCTCCTGCCTTCAGCCAACTGATTGGAGGGGATACAGGTGTGCACCTGTCCTTTGTGTGTTTGAGGGGTTTTGTTTTTTAAATTATCTATGTAGCAGTGGATGACCTTGAACTTTTAATCCTCTGCCTCCACCTACCAAATGTAGGGGCTACAGGAATTCCCCACCAAGCCTGGTTTATTTGGTCCTGGGGACCAAACTCAGGGCCCCATGCATGCCAGGAAAGAACTGTCCCAACTGAGTCACACCTGTAGCTCAGGCTAGCCTGGGACTCACTATGTAGCTGAGGAAGACCTCCTGATGGAATTACAGATCTACACCATTGACCCTGAATTTTTGCTCTCTCTCTCTTTTCTTTTAACCTTTCTAGATGACCTAGTCTTCTTACAGAGAGTCTTTTGGAGTGCCACATACATGAGCTGTATCCAGATACTGCTCTTCTTCTGAAGCTGGTGAGCTGTGATCTGGGCAGGAGGGAGGGAAAGGAGGCTGTCCCAGTCCCATGCCCTCTCAAGGACACTCAGGTCAGTGTGCAGCAGTCCCTGGACTGTCACCTGTGTAGCCGGGCTGCTTTGAAGGACTGTTCTGACTAGCGGCCCTCAAGTTGGACTCATTTAACTCTCTATGCAGCTCTGTGGGAAAGGATGGAAGGCACCAGCCTCAATCAGCCCATGTCCGGACCTGTAGCTGATGACACTATGGGATGGAGCCTCACCCCCCTACTTGAAGGTTTAGTTCCCTCGCCCCTCAGGAGATCTCATGCCCCTCACATTTAGCCAGTTCTAGGGAGTTTGTGCATTTTTCTTAAAACTAGATGCTAGAGCTAGGATGAAGGTATATTCCTATAATACCAGGACTCTGGAGGCTTAGACAGGAGACTATCCATAAATTCAAGGCCAGCCTGGGCTATATAAGGAGCAGTAGTCTAGCTTTGGTGGCACTGTGAGATCTCTCTCTCTCTCTCTCTCTCTCTCTCTCTCTCTCTCTCTCTCTCTC